CTCTACAGTCTGTGTTGTTAGCCATTTTAGCAACACTCTGGTCACATTCAGACATTCCCCTTTGACATCACTTCCTGTTACTTCACATGCAAATAATTCAACAACTGTTCATCTCAGCGGCGTGAAATCTTTTTTACAATATGTTATCAGCGTTATCCTTCCAAAAATACATTCATTTTTATTACAAAAAAATGATGTCACAGGCACTTTAAAAGTAGATAACTACAAACATTTAACTCTTATCATGCTTGACTGAATGGTCAGTAAAACAGCAGTTGCAGACCTAATCCTTGGTTTCATTGCTGCTCATTCGGTCGCTGAGCTCCTCAAAGTAATTTTCAGCAAAGCGAAGCATCTGAATGACGGCGCTGAGCAGCAGGATGTCACAGTTGATGTCCAGCTCCAGCTCTTCGCTGTAGTTCTTCACTGGAAGAACGCAGTACTGCGGCACACCCAGCCTGGCGCTGACCTCCTGTGTCTGGATCAAACAGCGCAGAAGGCTTGAAGCTGTTTTTGTCAAAACATGTTTCTAATGTCAAAGTCTGACAGTTCTTACGATTTCCTTGATGTATCCACTCTTGTAGATGTTCCTCAAATCCTCTTTCACCGAAGGACACGCCTCGTCTACTTTAGTGAGCAGAACAAGCTGAAGAATCCCTACAAACATGAGGACAAAAAAACATTTTACAAGTGGCTTTTAAGTCTGAMATTTCTAGATCAATGAAGGACTTCTCTAACCCAGAAGGTTGACCTTCCTGCGGATAGCTTCCAGCTTCTCCTCCAGCTTTGAGGGCATAATGGAGATCTTGCAGGCATCTATGACATAAACCACACAGTGGATCTTGTCCTTGAGACCTGGAGACTTCTGATAGTTGTGAGCTTCCGAATGCAGAGGAACAGCAGGGTTGAACTGTGTCCATGTTTGAGGAGAAAGAGGGGAAGAGTTGGAGTTGACTAGAACCTTTCCCACATTTCATATTCTAAGGTTGAATGAAATACACRTGGTCAAAATTGTTGGTACCCCTCGTTTAATGAAAGGAAAACCCACAGTTGCAGAAATAACTAGAATCTGACAAAAGCAATAAAGAAAAATTCTATGAAAACAAACAAATAAATGAAAGTCAGACATTGCTTTTCAACCATGCTTCAACAGAATAATAAAAAAATACTCATAAAACAAGCCTGGACAGAAATGATGGTTCCCTTAACTCAATATGTGGTTGCACAATCACTGCAATCAAATGATTCCTGTAACTGTTAGTGAGACATTATCCTGTTGCAAGACCCACGAGCTGCGACTGAGACCAAGCTTTCTGACACATTTCTCTCTAGAATCCCTTGATAGTCTTGAGATTTCTTTGTACCCTGCACAGATTCAAGACACCCTGTGTCAGATGCAGCAAAGCAGCCCCAGAACATAACAGAGCCTCCTCCATGTTTTACAGTAGGGACAGTGTTCTTTCCTTCATGCTTCATTTTTCCTTCTGTGAACATAGAGCGGCACGGTGGCTCAGTTGGTAGAGCTGATGTCCTTCAGCAAGAAGGTCGCTGGTTCAAATCCCGGCCTGGGGACTTTTCTGGGTAGAGTTTGCATGTTCTGTCCATGCATGCGTGGGTTCTCTCCGGGTACTCTGGCTTCCTCCCACAGACCAAAAACATRACTGTTAAGCTAATTGATAACTCTAAATTGTCCCTATGTGAGAGAGTGAATGGTTGTTTGTCTAGTTTGTCTCTCTGTGTGGCCATGTGATGGACTTGCGACCTGGATGAACCCCGCCCCTCACACTGTGACCGCTGGGTATGGGCACCAGTGACCCGTGCGACCCTGAAAGGAATAAGCGTGTACAGAAAATGGATGGATGAACATAGAGCTAATGTTTTGTCTCATCTGTCCATAGGACATTCTCCCTGAAACTTTGTGGCTTGTCAACATGTAGTTTGGCAAATTCCAGTCTGGCTTTTTTATAATTTGGTTTCCTCCTGTCGTCTCCCATTAAGTCCACTTTGGTTCAAATGACGATGGATGGTGTGATCTGACACTGATGTTCCTTGAGCTTGAAGTTCACCTTTAATCTCTTTAGAGGTTTATCTGGGATCTTTTATTACCACTCGTATTAGCCATCTCTTTGATTTGTCATCAGTTTTCCTCCTGTGGTCACGTCCCAAGGATTTTTAATTTCTGAATAACAGTCACATGAATAGTCAAACTGTTGTCACAGAAACATCAAGCTGCTTGGAGATGGTCTTATAACCTTTACCTTTAACATGCTTGTCTATAATTTTCTTTCTAATATCCTGAAGCAACTCTTTCCTTCGCTTCCTCTGGTCCATGTTGAGTGTGGTACACACCATGTCACCAAACGGCACAGTGAGTATCTGTAGCCCTATATACAGGCCCACTGACTGATTACAAGATTGTAGACACCTGTGACGCTAATTAGTGGACACACCTTGATTTAACATGACCCTTTGGTCACATTATTTTCAGGAGTACAATCATTTCTGTCCAGGCCTGTTTCATGAGTTTTAAACAAATTCTGTTTAAGTATGGAAGTATGCATTAAAAGCAATGTCTGACTTTCATTTGTTCATTTTTATAGATTTTTTTTCTTTATTACTTGTCAGATTCAAGTTATTTCTGTAACAATTGTGGGTTTCTCATTCATTAAACGAGGAGTACCTCCAATTTTGTCCACGTGTGTGTATATACCCGGTAAAGGTCAGGCAGGTGCCCTGTAAGGATGCTGCTGATGTCATCTATGTCAAGCCCCGCCCCTTTGCTTTCCTCCAATCCCATGGTGTCACACAGGATGATTGGCAGAGGTTTGCGTTCTCGTCCATCTTTCAGAGTATAAGTTCTAAACTGTTGGRGTATAGAGGGAGATGCAGTAACATCACACAGATGATAAAACTGTATCAGTCAGAAACAGACCTGTGTGGTGAGGCTGGTGGTGGAGCTGCCAGATATGGCATGGCTGGTGACGTGGCCTCTGAATACAGAGTTGATGGAGTTAAAGAAGCTGGACTTTCCAGCTCCAACTGGTCCGATCATTAAAACCCGWATCTGGGACACAGACCTGGCTATGGGTTTGTAGGTTCTGATGGTCTCCATCAGCTCAGTCCTCTTCCTGCATAAACAAGACCCAACTGTCGGATTGTGCACATTTTTCTAGCATTGTTTGGTAATAGCACTGTGTAATATTTAAGTTGAACAAAAGTAATAAAACTTGTCGAATGGTATTTTCATATTACTCATATGAGTCCCAGATCACAGTCCTCCATGGCCTCTCAAGTTCAGTGGTTGCTGTTGAAGAGCAAAAATTATATGTAACGTTTGCAGGTTGTTGTTGTTTTTTTTTTTTTTTTTTAGAAATTTATACATTTGTTTATATTACATAACTATAATAAATGAAAACGTTTTAATAGCTGAAAAAAGCACAGTGGTTAGAGCTATCAYATCACAAAGGATTGTCTTCCTTTCTGTGTGAAAATAGGCAGGTTCTCCTTTGCGTGTTTTTTTTTTTTTTTCTGGATACTTTAAATTTTCCTGTGAGTGAGAGTGACTGGTTCGTCTCGTGTGTCTCCATGTGTTTCTAATCAAACTACAACCTGTGCAGAGTKTACCCCGCCTCTTGCACAGTGACTGCTGAAGAAAGCATAAAGGTCCCCACAACTCAGGAAAGGAAAGGCTGGTAAAGAAATTCATAAACGCATAAATAAATGAATGGTAGGTAATGAAAGTTTACCTTCCACCCTGTAGACTTCACACTCAGTCAGGTTCAGGTCATTTCCATGCATTTCTGCTGCATTGAAGTTGTAATGAGCTCCTGGGTTACTGTAGACCACCGGTGTGCTTCCATTGACAAGAACCAGGGCTTCCCCAAAATAAGGACCAGAGTTTCTGATCATTCTAACTGCATGTGTAGCACTAGCAACATGATATTTGAGGAGTTGATCTCCACTGAAGGTGAAAAGAAAGGCCTGGTCATCGTTCACATAATGTCCAGTCTGACTGAAAGGTTGTGCGGTGTAGCCTCCAAACACATGACCAGAGACGTTGTAGCCCACAGACACAGTGGGACTGTGGTTGTCACATCGTTGGTGGAAGGCAGCTCCAGTAAAGCCATGTTCAGAGGCTTTGTAGAGCAGCTTGAGTTTGACAGTTCCCAGCTGAGAGCAGATTGTTCTCTGCTGGCTCCTGCTTAGATTTGACTTTAGAGTAGACATCTGGTTTGATGATGTGAACTTCAAGATAACTGGACTCTTATAAGAAAAAAAATAGAATAAAGTTAAAAGGTCACGTTTAAAAATTGGACGTTTGCTCTGAAAACTTACATTAAAAGATCCGATGCACGCTCAATAATCTATGTAGAAAAATCTAACAAGGYTGAATCAGGTTCCCGGACGGGTTCTTCTTTGTTGAAACGTTTTGCTTTTTATCCAAAAGACTTGTTCAATCTGGGCAGTTACAGGTGAACTCCCTTTTATAAGTACTTTCACATATTGAATTAACCTGTTTGCTGGTGACACCCAGCAAACAGGTTAATYCACTTTGTGAAAGTACTTCTCATAAGAGGGAGTTYACCTGTAACTGCTCAGACTGAACAAGTCTTTTGGATAAAAAGCAAAACGTTTCAACAAAGAAGAACCCGTCCAGATTATGGGGCACCAAATGTCAAACAAAATGTTGAAAAATGTCATTAACACATTTTCATTATTTAACTCACTTTCTGAGAGGAAAATCATAGTTTAAATTTTTTCACTAATTTTTTGTCGTTTTTTTGCTCATTGTTCTTACATTTTGCTAACTGTTACTAAATGTTAAATGTTAATGTCTAAATGTAAAATTTCAAATATTGCGGTTAAATGTTCAAGTTTACCTTTAAGTATTTTGAAATCGAATACAGCCACGTGGCTGAATTAGCTTGTAAATGCTTTTCTCAATTTTTGTTCTCCTCCCGTCCGCTTCTTCTACTTTTTCCTCTTCTTCATCAAACCTTTCTTCCTCTTCGGTCTTTGTGCTTGGTAAACAATGAATTGGCGCATTAACGCCATCTACTGGTATTAAGCGCAAC